TATTTTTTAAATTTTTTAAAATTTTTATTTATTTGGTACAGGGTCTCGTTACACAGCTTAGACTCATAGTAATCCTCCTGTCTCAGCCTCCCCAGTCCTGGGATTACAGGTGTGTGTCACCACGCCTGGTTTCAGTGGCTGGCACAGCATACCCAGGGCCAGACTGGCATGGCATGTGTTTCTGGGATCGAACCTGGGTCCTTAAGCTTGCCAGACAGGCACTTAGACCACTGAGCTATTTCCCCAGCCCTCTACATAATATTTGATATCTAATTTGAAAACTAGCTTTGACGAGGAAAAATGTAACAACAAACTAAATCAAAAGATTATGAAATATGTCAAACTAAGAGGGCACTAGTCCTAAATGAGTTATTTATTTACAAAGAGGAAGTAATAAAATAGTTCTCACTAAAAATAATAATAATAATTTAACGATGGTCTAAGCAATTCTTCTACCACATAGGTTTATGGTCATTCTGCAGATCCAGACAGAGTTAAAATGTGAAACATAACAGGAACTTCACTAAGAAATTCCAGCTGTAGGTTATCCTAAATATCCAGTATACAACAGGAAATGTTGCTACTGATTCAATAGATACCATTCCTTTTCTTGTTTAAAAAACAATTTTCTGAGATGCCAACAAACTGGAAAAGAAGTCCCAAAAGCTCCGTTACAAACTGAAAGAGTTAAACAAAAACAAAACAACAACAAAAAATTCCACTGCAACATTTAAACCCACTAAGCATTTTTATAATGTAGTTATTACTTCTCTAACACTCAACCTTAAATTCTGATGATTAGTTATAAATTTCAATATACCAATAATAATGATGGAACTCAAGTAACCCATTAAAATATAATGAAAACTAATTTTAGATGAACTGAATAGATATACAAGGTTTTAGTCTAATATGGTATTTTAAATGCTAGACTGACATTCTTTTCACAGTAAACATGTTGAAATTGGCTCAATGAATATTTCTATTTGCATAATACTCAATGTCTGCATAATACTCTCACCCGAATAACTGTTTCTAAAGAGTCTGCCACACATACCTCTCTGGCAATGTTACTCAAAGCTTCATCTTCTGCAGAAAATCGATCTTTGACAGGTGTTCTTTTTCTTCCAGAACCAGGAGTCCCCATTTTGTGTTCTTAATAGTCTTCTAAATCTGAAAGCAACTTCACTTTGTATTCAAGCCTGAAATAAATAGAAACACAATTTAGGATGTTTCTCTTTGTGCAGGTTTAATGTTCCTTTATACATTCAACTTTTTTTTTTTTTTTTCATCAGGAACTGAACTCAGGACCTTGTGCATGCAGGCAGGCACTTGTACTGATAAGCTATATCCCCAGCCCCTATACACTTAATTTTAGCAGAGAAATATTTTCTTTAGAGAAAATAATAACCAAATACCTTTGTCAAATTGTCCCAATACATATCAGAATATTTAAATTTGTATTAATTACTAACCTCTTCATTTCACTGAGCTATCTACAACGACCTATGACAGCATTATATGTCAGAAAATTGCAGTAAGTAGCAATGCTCTTTCACAGCTTAAAATTAATACACCTATTTCTAAAATCTATTTCCATTCCAGAGTATAAGACATTTTAGAAATGTCATTCAGCATAAAGTTTAAAAACAATGTTTAAGAGGTTTTAATATTCAGCCTTAAAGGTAAATAACTTTGCTTTTTAGTATAACTTTTTAAATTTTCAGTTAAAGCACAACCACAATAAAAGAACAAATGAAGTCTTAGTCTACAATTAAAAATGAAGACATTCTAATTGTAGACATGCAAAAACAGTTGAATGAGAAAAAAATAGGGTTGGCTTGAAAAATATCAACAGTTTAACAGATCTGTTCGTTTGTTTATTAGATAAGGTCTTGCTACATAGTCCAGGCCAATCTCCAACTCAATGAGATCCTCCTGCCTCAGCCTCCTGAATGCTGCCATTACAGGCATATGCCATGACCCCCATCCCCACCCCATATTGATTTCTTTTCCTTTTTAGGAGAACAGGACTCTGAATGTATTTTTTGTCCTTGAATCTCTGAATTTTAAGCAGCATTGAGGAAAAGAAGAATACAATTCTGTACCTGGAATATGAGTGCTTGCTATTGTCAGGTACTAAAGGTAAGCATAAAAAAAAGTGATGTAGCTCAACAATTAAGAATACATCTACAGGGCTGGTGAGACAGCTCAACGGAATAAAGCACATGCTTAGGCAAGTGCAAGGAATGTGGTTCGATTCCCCGCGCCATATGCAGTGCCAGACCAGCCCCCAGGGCAGACTGAGCCGGCCAGAGTATCCGTGTGGTGGCGCACACATGTAATCTCAGTGCTCAGGAGGCTGAAAGCAGGAGGATCACCATTGAGTCCAAGCTGTGTAGTGAGATCCTGCAACAACCAAATACATTTAAAAAAAATAAGAAGAAAGGAAAAAAAAAAAGAAAAAATACATCTATGGATCTGTATAATTATTAAACAGGCCTATTTTACAAAGAAAAGACAAACTCATCTGTCAGGATTAAAACACAAAGATGCTAAAGATCATTTAATCTCCCTAACACATGGTATTTAAGATTAAAAATTCCCACGACAGATACAGCTCAGGGGTATGCATGTGCATAGCATGTATAAGATTTAGGCTTCATCCACAGCACTAGAGGGGAAAAAAAAAAGGAGAGGAGGGGGAGGAAGAGGAAAAGGAGGAAAAAAAAATGTTCAAGTCTGTCCTAAAAGAACAAGCCATATTAAAACTGTAAGTGATTACAATGCACTAGAATTTACTTGATTCAGCAAAATAAACTAGAACCACTACAACCCAGAAAGTTTCATCCAGTCAAAATTCAGGCCACTCTCATCATATCTGATATCATTTCTTACTACCCAGATTTATCTTGTTACATGTGTCAAATAGAACAAACAGACTGATAGTTTATTACTTCATATGGATAGGATTATTAGGAAAATAATTCATTTAAATGGAAGCTAACCAAAATATACATTTGAAAGGAACAGCTAATAAATCTAAGCCACAAATCAGGACAATTCTTGAAAAGCAGAATTTTCTCAGAAGTTTTCATTTCAGCTTGTGTAGTTTTAAAGATTATCACTGAATAGTAATATAACATACAAACATTAGCTATACATATTAAGAAAAAATATATGTTACAAATTTACTTTTAACCTGGAATAGTCATTTAAATCACACTGTGGAACCCCCTAGTATGTGTCCTTCAGCCAGCTTTCCAAGGACACACTAAAAACCATTTCACAGAAACAAGAGGGGAAAATTATAGATATATTCTAGTTCTAGACATGTAAAAATAATTACAGAGAAAAAAACAGACTTGGCTAGAAAAATTATCAATAGTTTAGGGCCAGGGAATGGCTCAGTGGAATAAGTGCTTCTCTGGCAAGTGCAAGGACTTAAGTTCAATCCCCAATTTCACCAAAAAAAAAAAAAAAAAGTTTAGCAGCAACTTTTTTTGGGGAACAAAATGAGTATATTTTTTTGCTTCTTGAATCTCTGAAATTTCAACAACATTGAGGAAAAGGAAAGGGCTGGCCAAATAGCTCAGCAGATTATAGTGCCTGCAAGCAGGTGCAGGGGCTGGGGGTTCAGATCCCCAGGCCTGCATATCCCCAGGCCTGCTGTGCCAGCCCTGCACCCTGGGTGCACTAAGATAGCAATTGAGACTGGGCATGGTGGCACGCACCTGTAATCCCAGCTCTTGGGAGGCAGTAAACAGGCATATCACTTCAAGTCCAATCTAGTAGTGAGACCCTGATCACCTTGTAGACCCTTCCCTAAAAAACTAAAACAAAAGAAAAGGAAATACATTTTCGAGAAAATATTTAGACCGAGGTCTAAATTAATAAACTGGCCTCAAACATTACCTATTTCAAAACAATCTAGTGTTTTTGAAATAATTATACTGTTTGTATTCTATAGTTAGTCATCATTTTCAGTTAGAAAAATTAAAGATTTCCAGTTTCTATCTTGTAATAACTCTAGAATATTCTGTATTAATGATGAAAGAAAAAAAATGGTTTCTATCACAGGCAAGGGAAAACTGCTTTTCAACAAAATGATAAAAATAAGAACATAAGGGCTGGCCTGATAGCTTAGCGGATTTAAATTTCTGCTTAGGCAGATGCAGGGGCCAAGGGTTCTATCCCTGGCCTGCCATGCCAGCCCCGCCCCCAGGGCAGGCTGAAATGGGGATTGAGACTGGGTATGGTGGCATGGGCCTGTAATCCCAGCACTTGGGAGGCTGAAAAATAGGAGGAACACTATGAGTCTGATCTGTGTAGTGAGACCCTGTAGACCCTGTACTAAATATATGAAAAATAAACAAATAAATAAGGACATAAATTCAAAGGAATCCCAAATAAACTTTTTCCATTTTTTGATCCAAAGGACTTTCAGACAGTTTGTATCTATTGAGGTTTTTCTCAAGACTACTCTTTTACACATGCCATATTAATACTTTTCATCTATTAATGCTATCAATCAACCTAAAGAACTGAATCTGATCAAGATAGTTAGATTCGGGCTGGGGAGACAGCTCAGAATAAGTGCTT